ATGGCTTGATTCTTTTAAACCACTTACTCCACCAAGCTCCCTCTTCCTCAATGAATCTGGTAGTTAAGTTCATATCGTCTGTGCTTAGTAGGATTTTGCATCCCCCCATCGGGGTAATGCGGATAAAAGAGAACCCGTTTTCCCAAAGCACTTGTTGAAGACCCGGAATGAGATCGGGGGTATGTACCTCTCCCGTAGCACAATTTTGGAGCCAGCTACAATCCTCCAATTCTTCATCCAGCACCAATGTAACTTTCTCAGCTCTTTTTTCCTCTGTGCTTCCCGTTGGCTGGGGTTGGGGTGAGTTTTGATTAAAGTTTTTTTGGGGGGGTGGACTGTTGAGGAGAACCTCAGCAAAGGATCTCATCTTAAAGGTTGCAGGAGGTGGCGGAGGTGGTAAGATGCGGGGTGGTTTTGGGTTTGGATGGCTGGGTTTTCGATCTGTGGCTAATGCAACCCTGATCTTCTCAGTTCCAAAGCAGATCATACGAAGTGATTTCTCGAGCCTGGCTTTGTTTTTGACTTCTGAAAATCTGACAAAGCCAAAGCTGTTTCCTTTCCTGTCCTTCCTTTTAGGGATAAACACATCAACAATTCTCCCTTGACCTGCACCGTAAGTGGCAAAGAGGTACCAGAGCCTTTTTGGTGACCAATTCTCCGGGAAGTTTGTGAACAGATAGGAGGTGGCATTCTTCAAAAGCCCACGGTCGTACATTGGTAACCTTGTAGTTAGAGATTTCTCTCCAGTTGCTGCATGTCCACTCTTTGCCGTTGAACTCTGACGCTGCTCTCCGCCATCGCCGCCATAGTCCTCCTGATATGCCATTTCTTTCTTAGACAGAACCAAGGAAAACATTAGTAAGCACAGAACTCCTTATATGTTTTGTAGTACAATACACTTAATCACATTTTTGTATTTTAAAATTATATGAATTCAACAATCCAATCCCAAAAGAGGCATCGGACAAGAGTCTTAAAAAAAATAAAAATAAAAACAAAAAAACAAAACACCCACGCACAGAGAGGCTTATACAAGGTGGTGTGTGGAATGTCGTTTTTTCCCAAGAAAAGGATTCGG